ACAAAGTACATGTTCTGTAGTAGTGTGTATTCGTACAGAATTTGCGAATACTTAACTAGATAAAATTTAAATTTCTCATTTCATTTTAAAATTAAAGTAACATTTCTTAAACTGTCATTTTAAATATGTGAATTAACTTAATGATGAAGTTGATAGATAACAGCTTAACACTGTTACATATGGAGACTGTCATATAACCAATATTCTAACCAACCCAATACATAACATATTCTTTTTATGCAAGGAAGAACACAGATACCAGACCAGGGCTGTTATTTTAATTTGAGAGGGCTCATTTCATCCGGTCCTGATTTTTATAATTTGTTTGTGGACACTCAACAGGTCACAATTGTTATCCGAAGTTGACAGAACTTGAAATATAGGCATATCTCCCAAAGATCTTGGTTTCTTTCGATATTGGCATGTACCAGACCGAGTCTCGTTTTAAGCCTGTGGATCCTCTAGAGGTCACAATTTTCATCCAGTTATATATTTATATCCCAAAGATCTGGTTTCCTAATGTTGATACTTCAGACCGTAACTTGCTGGATTATGACCACTGAGTGTAAAAAAAAAAACCCAACACCTTTTTGTTAGCTTGTTCTGTCCATCTAATGAAGACGGGCATATGCCATACAGTGTGCTATAAGAAATTTTGCCCAGGCAGCTGCACCATGGCTTACTCTTACATCGAATTCCTACTACAAAGGGATCTTTTACGTGCACGCTAATGTATACCCTGGAAGTCGGTTTTGGTACCATCCGAACGACTGGACGGTTGTCCTTGTCAGTCCCTCCGTCCGGCACCACTGACGAGGGGAAGCCAGGCCGGAAAATCCCAACGAACTTTCTCGACCAATGTAGTGATCGAACATACGACCTCCAGACTAGCGAGCCAGTGTCTTACTCACTTTACAACCGTGGCTCTCAACAATTTAAGATACTGATGATCAATAAAAATGTAGACATTTTAGAATATTTGGGAGCTTTTATATATACAATTTGTTCATGGTTTTGTAAAGTTGTGTATCTGTGTATAATTATGTACATGTATATGTATCTTTACATAATGCATGTATCTTTCTATTATTTTTATTTGTATATGCACATAACCTTGTAATTTTTTTATGCAATAAAGTTTCTTCTATTACATCAAATTTAAAATATAAAAAGCTTAGTATAACTTTTTGTAATATTTGAATCAAATGTTATTTTTATTTATTAAATTTTTATTTTAATTTTTTTTTCTACATTTAATTTGAATGTGAATTAAAAGTCTCATATAGAAACTGATCCAAACCCATCTAAATATAGCGCAGTGTAATATGATACTTAGCATGCCCTAAACACCACATCATCTGTATCAGATAATTAAGCCAAAACATATTGTCTTTGACAAGTTGATGACAAGATTCTCTTCAACAGAACTGTATTGTCTGTGGGGGTCGCATTCCTAAATTTGAGGAAAAATGGCTAATTTCCACCTAGTCCAAGCACTGAATTGCTAAAACGACAAACACCAAGATGTAAGTATCGCAACACACCCTATTTGAAAATAGTGCCATGTTTGATCGTTATACATTACCTAACTTACGTTCTGGAAGGCATCCCACCTTCCTGAACTGTCTCGAGGAAACATTGAGGCGGCAAATTGGTGAAACGAAGTTTAAACAGCTATATGGCTGGTACATGCCAACAGGAAATTCTACAGTTAAGTTCAATTCATTTCAAATCAGTGAAAATTTGGTGTAGCACTGACTAGCACACGCCATAACATCCCCATGACCGATTGTCAAAGGATGCTATAACTGTCGTATTTGTTTCACGCATGCACGAATATTTATGTCATAGCAATTCAGTTAACCGAAACGGGTACGCACTAAGAAAAAAAAACGCACAACAAAAATAATAAAAAGTTTATTCAAGCGATATAATCATCGACGCCAGCTACATGAACACAGCTACAGGGATATAATCAAAGGACTTAATATCTGGTTTGACCTACCTAGACACCACAACATTTGTACAGTCGTCCATTTAAATATATATCTGAATAATTTAACATAAATTTTCGTGTCATGCTTGGCGTGTTGCAAACGTGTCCACCATTTTAGTAACAAAAACTACAGAAATTGAAGTTGCATTCCATTCCTCGAATCTACGTGATATTGACCCTTTAAAATATAAGAACCTTTGAAGGCCTTTGACAAAATATTTTCTTAAATCAGAAGAGAGATAATAATCCGTTCGGCTGATTATGTAAATTTATTCTGGATAGGCAAATATATTATGTAACGTATCAAATTTTGAATTTTCATACAAACATATTTATTGTGATTTTAAAAAGTAGAGCATTGACGCTAAACTCCAATTTTAATAATTAAATGCATGTTTCCGTAGGTTCACAACTATCTTTAAGCAGGTTAGAATCACATTACTGATAAATGGTACAGCATGAAACATGTGAGCAGAGCATCGTTTTATTACTCTGTTGTTTATCAAGCATGCAGAAGTCAGGTTTAAAATGGAAACTGTTCAGGTTTTTCTATGTTGAAATGAATTTTAATTTCGGGCAATTGACTAGTAAAATGCTGATTATCGAACTTAATCTAGATATTATTGATATGGTGAAACTATACACTAAGTTTCGTAACTCTCACTTAATTAGAATTAAAGTTATCGTGTCCCAAAGCATCAACCAATCAAATTGCTTATCTCTGCTTACCCTAAGCAGAAAATACTTATCTTAAAAGCCCATCAAGGTATCCACTTGATGAACGCTTACACCAAGTTGAACATTGTACCTCAATTAGAAGAAGAGTTATTGTGTTCCAAAGTCTCAACCAAGCATATTGGTTATCGAACATTTCAAGGTATTGATGTAATAAAATTCTACACCAGGTTTCATCACTCTCAATTAATTAGAACTAAAGTTATCGTGTCCGAGAGCATCAACCAATCTATTTGCTTTTCGTAGCTCACTCTAAGCAGAAAATGCCCATGTTCCAAAGTTTAAACCAATCAAATTGCGCATCTCTGCCTAGCCTTAGTGGAAAATGCTAATGGTGGAACTCTGTCAAGGCATTCACCTAATAAACACCTACACCAAGCTTGAACATTCAAGCTCAGTTAGAAGGAAAGTTATTGTGTCACAAAACGTGTGACGGAAAGAAAGGCTGGTGAACGAACGGGAGAACATACAGACGGACAGGCCCATTTTTATAGTCTCCTGCTTTCTTCGAAAGACGGGGGACAATTACTAGACATTTATGTACATGAACAACTCATCGGATGGTGGCAACTTTCAATGGATTGAAACACGATCGCCATTTAATCATTTAATTTAAAAATGGATAATCTGTTTATTATGGTGACAGTGGTACTTGGCCATCGAGACTATCTTGTGAAAACTTACCGACTGATAACGTCGCTCATAATGAAGTCATCTGACATACGTTTTCAGCATATTCATTTTGCATTATCTACTTTTAAACGATATCACCGTTGGTGGAAGTGGACGTAAAACTCCAGGAACGAACGCTCTTTATCGAAATCTTAAATATGCATTATGTACGATTTAGATAAAGAGGTGACAGCTCTCATTATAATAGTTTTAAAAAAGATAATGAAAAGGAAATATTTTGAAAATTTCAGTCAAATAACTTCATTCTGACCGGAGTTTTCTCGGAGAAAAATTTAAATTTTTTTTAAACCAGCCGAGCCATTGTAAAATGGCACATTGCCAAAGGAATTCGAGCATACCGATATGGTCCGAATGGTATAATTTGAAATCCATTATCATAGCCATATTTTGATATTCGTCGGATTGTGTTATTTTCAGACTTAGCTGCGACAAATGCCCCCAAGGCCCAAACCATCATTTTTATGTGCCATACTTTGATAGCAGTCGGATTGTACTACATTCAAAAAGACTTAGCTGGGAGGTTCGTCGGAGTCCACAGATATTATTTCAAATACCAACCGTCGAAATAGGTTGCTATGTGACTTACTTTACACATCGACACTCGCCAGGTATTATCAAGTGGCTATTGGAGCTTGACAAGGTTGGTGTTTATGTTGTTGTTTATTACAATGTTAACGACCAACACATTGATTATGATATTATGGACACTAGCTGATATAAGTAAAATCATTTACTTATGAAAAAGTCAATTAACCACCTTAAAACATCAATAGTTGATAAGCGAGATATAACCTAGAGGTGTGTAATAAAGTATATCTGTTCGAGACTATCAGTGGACAATTCGTGAGGGGTTTATCACTAAAATGTGATTATGGACTCTGAGCTTAAAGACATGAAGGTCAATTTTGTCGTGTTCTGTGTGCTATCGCAAAGAAATTTTAAATACACCCGACTGTTACATTAAATGTTGGATTGTGGTGAAATGGCGATGTATTTAGCAATTCTATTTTGATGATGTGTGTATAATTGTCTTTTGGTATTCTTTAATCGCCATTCGGAATTCTGTGATTGTTAATTAGAATTATATAATTGATTTTAAGCTGCATCTTTAAACATTTTAGACGTAGACACTCCATATATTTTGTGTGTTGAATATAAACACAGACCGTGATTGTGAATTTATATACTTAAGGATTGTAAAGCTTGTTGTGTTCTGGTATACTGGTTTCTATTCACCCTTTTCCCACTACAATCCTATTACCGGAGGTATTGAATGTCACGCGTTATTGTGATTGTGAACGCAATTAAACGTTATGTATATCCTCTAAATATTTCATGTTTTGTTTAAAATATTAAACTTCATTTATATTCATTAGTAGGACTTCTGAAGTAAATCATTTAAAACGTACATGTATTATCATTGGTAATCTTTACATAATACATGTATTAAGCTTGGCTATTCAACTGTAAACATAATCGTCACGGACCCTGATTTGGCAAACTTAGAAAAAATATCGTCGTATAAAAGTCTCATAGCATTCATTTCTGATCACAGTTTCTCCTGTCGCTAGTCAAATCAACAATTAGATGGGTAACATATTTAGTTGTCGTAAAAGGAAACTAAAATCAACCAGCGAACTTAACATGGAAGCTCGCGTGAAGCTAGTCAAAGAAAAGGAAAAAGAAGTGAAATTTGACGTAAGCATTGGTGCGCAGGACTGTCCGGATGCTTCAGCAACCGCTGAACAAGACATAATATCACGCAATGCTGTTTTAATCAACCGAACCATCTCATGTCTTACAGAAATCGACCATCTAGCAATGAACATTGATCCAAAGGATTTTGCGTTTGATTTTGAGAATCTTGTTCTTGAAGGGGGAGGAAATAAAGGCCTGGCTTACTGTGGAGCTATAAAATACTTACAGGAAGTTGGGGTGATGAAAAACATCAAACGACTTGCGGGAGCTAGTGCGGGTGCCATGACAGCTGCTTTGATAATAGTAGGATATACTCCTGATGAAATTGAGGATTTTTTGGGAAACAATATTTCTGATGTATTCATAGATCACAGTTGTGGCTACTGTAGTCTGCTACCAAACCTACTTTCCGGATATGGGTGGAATCCTGGGAATAAGATCTATGAGTGGCTTGGTGATAAAATGCGACTTAAGACGGGCAACCCCGATGTGACATTTCAAGAAGTTTATAAATTAACGGGAATGGAACTATGTGTTGTTGTAACAAACTTAAGTCTAATGACTACCGAGTATTGTCACCCTAAGACTACGCCCAATATGGCTGTACGCCTTGCTGTTAGGATGTCCATGGCCATTCCCGGCATGTTTAGTGCTCCAAAATTTACGTCTTACGGCCAAACGAATGTCTATGTCGATGGTGGCGTCCTCTGCAACTATCCCATTCATTGTTTTGATGGTTGGTATCTATCTATGGAACCGGGTAACAGTTTTATAGAAAAGTTACAACCATTAAGTGCATTGACCCGTCTCTATGATAAAACAGAGCGATTCGGAACTTTTAATCCCAAGACTCTGGGTTTGTTATTATTTGCCGATAATGAAAGAGACATATTAAGATATAATTTAGAAAATAGAATTGGAATTTTGCAGCCATTAAAACCATCTTCGTTAACCAAGCTATTTGTGATAAGATCAAAGAGGAAACAAATACAAGCTAAGTTGATTGTTGAACATGGACGAGTCGTCAGAGCTGTTGATAATTTTCTCAGGGTAAGAGTTTTATTGAGGTGTTTGTGAAGCCAGCGATTTTCAACAAGGTTTCCATAAATCTTACATATATATTCATATATAATACCACCTGTAAAACAAGCAAAAATATTTTTATAAGTGAGAAATTAACTTTTTTATTAAAACCGAAAGTGACGTAGTTGGTTCAACACGCTCACTGCTCTCTATAGTAAGCATACAAATTTGGCATACGTTTACTGCTGTATTTTGTTCACACGTTGTCATTTGGCCAAAAATCTGACCAAATAGACTTTTATTAGGATATTATGAACACGAAATTAGGTTTTGTAACGTTTAGTACACAAAACCGTCGCGTAAATTCACGCATACTGAACAGTACGCTGTGGCCCAATTCACGCCACATGGCTAATTGTATACATCACGTGGTTTGTTTGACAGCTTATAAGTGACATGTATATCGTTTGCTGACAGTGTTTTTCAATATAAACAGACCAAAATTATAGGCACCTGAGACATATAATATAGTACATTTTGGCACATAATGTCGACGTGAACGACTTTTCCTTTTTTTCTTTCATTTCCTCTTGAGAATGTCTGGGCGTGAATCTGTATACGGCATTACTGTAGACCCATAGAAGCGGTATCTTATATTCCGATACGTTGGTGTCTGACGTTGACATACTTTGGAAATTTATATATTTATGTGAATATATATGTGCCACAAGTGATTGAAATAAATACAAACACCGTCAGCAGAATCAGCACGCAAAACAATTCAAACAGATGAATATGTAAAACAAACCACCTGATGTAAACAAATAGCTGCGTGGCCTGTATTGGTCTACGATGTACTGTTCAATATGAGTGAATGTACTCGTCGGATTTGTGTATTAAACGTTAAAAACATAATTCGATATTTATAACATCCAAATAAACAGCCCCTTTGGTCGGATTCTCATCCAAACAAATTTGCATGCTTACTATAGAGACAATGAGAGTGTTGAACCAACTACATCACTTTCGGTTGTAAAAAAAAATGATTTATCCTTACAAAATCTTTTTTGCTTGTGTTACAGAGGGGATTATTTATCAATATATATTTGAAAGATTCCCCGGTTGTACGTGACAAGGAGTAGGGACGCCTGTCCAACCGCCTGGGTTTTCTCCGGGTCCTCCGGTTTCCTCCGACTGCCAAAGACCCCTACGCGCAACGAGTTATTAACATATATTTGACCCATATGTTAGTCTCGAAATGACCTAGTTTGTGTCGAGCGGACGTTACGTCCTATTTCTCACTCTCTCCAAATTGGAAAAAAAGCCAGTAAAAATTATAGGCTCAATCGCGTTCACAAAGTTTTCAGCAAGGGGAGGAAACTCGAGTACGAATTTCATCCTCTTAAGTTTGAAAAGAAAAACTGTGTTAAAAAACTGTAGAATCTACAGCGTTAAGAAGGTGTTCGACAAAGGGGAACTAACCTCGAGAGAAGAATGTTGCGGGGCGCTGAATATCGATAGGCTTCGTTCTCCTATGACCCAACTGCTTACACCAAATTTGAAAAAGAAAATCTGTTAGAAACTGTCGGTAGCGTTCACCCTCATACAGCCCCATACCGCACACCAAATTTGAAAACAAAAATTGCGTTAACAAGGTTTTCGAAAAATGGGAGGTAACTCCGGAACGGAAAGTCGCGGAGCGTAACAAGAAAAAGCCTCTATCGCGTTTACACTGAAATGCGGGCATATAAAGACAGTATAATATAATATTGCGTGGAAGGGACAATAGGCCCCATGCCAGTCAAACACGACACAAAGGCAGTATTAGTCCCGAAGTAACCTAGTGACCTTGAATTGATGTTAATCTTCATTTCGGTTATATATTTTCAGGTACTCAAACGTCATAACATAGATAACAATGACGATATAACACTGGCAGAATTGGAGAACGCCTTTAAAGATGAACAACTGATAAAAGAAGAGAAGATTCTGTTATTTGGTAAAGATATTGATGTCCATGAAGCTTTTCAATTGTTGGATAACGATCAAAGTGGTCAGATTAAATACAGAGAACTCATTCATTTTATCGAATCAACTGGTATTTGTTGTCAGACCAGGTTCTTAGGTTATCAGCGCATGGACGTTACAAATTTTATATCATTTCTCGATTCACTACAATCAACTTTATTAACAAATGTTAAGAAAATTTATGTAGACGAGAGGGATATGGAGCGGACCGTAGGGATCAATACCGGTCATATTGGAACCACCGATTTTAATTGTGAGGAAGCTGACCGCGATTTCGTTGTGGCACGTGGGTATAATGGGGCTAAGTCTTTTTTACAATATTGCGCTGCCTCACGTGATCTTCCTAAATCTTCTCCCTTAAAACAGTCTGGGAATACTATTGAAGAACTTACCAAAGAAGATAATGACTTGCAATATGCTGATGATAATTTTATGGACGAGACAACACAACTTGTACATTAGAATTCTGTGAGGGACCTCTATGGACATTTTACAAATCTACAAGGACCATAACATCTACAATAACTCTCTTCAGTCAAATTTCCCATATTATATACGCGCCAACACTTTTTAACAAATATCTGATACCAGTTTTGCGTGTAGTATGGTCCTTCTGCTCTTACTTATAAAGCATCTTCATCTAAAAAAAAACCAACAATAATTTATAACCATTCTGACCAGAAATGTGGTACAGCAACTAATAGCAAGAAGAATGGCGATCCTATTAATATGAACCTGAATAGAAGGGAAAAACCTATAATACTTAATATACGTGCACCTAAATTTCTTACGTCACACAGTCGGTCTCAAAATAAGTGCTCACTGCAGTCGGTCTCAGACTAAATGAATTAATGAGGAAAACAATGCCAAAACAGAATCGAAAAATTTTGTGTGAATGCGTGCACCTAGTATAAAATAACCGAGTCAACTTTTCATATTTGAATAAAAAAATTCCCTGTTATTAGTATGTTGGTCTTAGAAACTGAGAGCTTGTTACGAAGATTTTGATAAATTAGATTATATTATTGATTGTCATACGAATAACATTAGTCGAACAGTTGGTAAGAAGTTATCGGAAGCATATTTTGTTTCAGAAATACGTAAAAAATTCTTTAAATTAACTTTTACTTTTTACTTATTGCATATTTAATCCCAGTAGAAATTAAAACGTATTTTACTCATGTTGTAAGTATTTTCTGACCATTAGAATTCTGCAAAACCTTTCCCCAGATCCCAAAGTCCAGTAAATGACATTTCAGAGACCAAGTAAGCCCCCCCCCCCCCTCGTGAGACAAAGTCTCCTCAGGCCCAGTCCCAAAAAATTAAAAGCTCAGTTACATAATCTCAATTCTAATGTGTAAAATTGTTCTTTCTACTCTCACAAAACAGGCGAAATGGACGGACGGGCCTCAAGATTTTGTCGCATTTCTTTTCCTCTCGTTAAGGAGAATTTGATCCCATTTGTCATGACATTGACTATAATTTTTCAGGCCCAGTTCCCAAAAATTTAAAGGTCAGTTACATATCTGAATTTTTTTCGCGCCTGTGCCACTAGATTCCATTATGGGACCATTCTTCCACTCCTCTGTGGTCTTATACTACCCCATCACTGTCATATTCTGACAACTCTGGCAAAACAGGTGGAATTGACAGGAGCAGATTTCGAGATTCTGTCCTATTGACTCCTATATCTGGTTCTCTTGTTCACAAGAATTTGCTCCCAGCAATGACCTCAAGGGCCAGGAGTTTGGTTCAATTTTTCAAAATTTTCTCAGGTTGCTCAGTGTTATAGCCACTGCCCGTAAGGTTCACATAAATTTAATTACAAAATCAATAACAATCATCATATATATGACATACTTTATGTCAACTTGAATAAAACTGCTTTCCAACGAGATATCGATCGGCGAACAACTATAGGCAATACAATCTATGTTCTACCGGGACGCCCAGTGTTATAGCCAGTATTTTGTTGACATTCAATGTGGGTGGCGTCCTAGATTTGGAACCGCCCCACCCACCCCCATTTTCCCAGCTTCCAGATCAGCTACTGTTCGGCCCCTGACTGCGTCACTCGTATTAGGGACATGTGCATCAGTCGGTCGCATTTTTGCTAAACACCCCCCCCCCCCCAAACAAAATCTTTATGTACGCCCCTGTGTCGACTGGTTTTGATGGATAGGATGACCATCTTAAATGCCATCTTGAATTTCGCCCTTCCTTCCAATGATTCAAGGGTGGAATTGAGGTGACATTTAAATGCACACAGGATGTGTTTATGGGGTCCTTGAAAAAGTTGTTCTACACCAATGGTTGTGTGGTTTTGGCCAATTGAATCAAAATCCCGTGTACTCTTTCGCATGCGGGTTAAACGTTAAATTTACACGTAGTTACAGATGCGTCATTTCAATGACATAGTAAAAATTCCGGAAAGCTCTAATTATTTTGAATAAGTATGCTATTTTGAGGTATATAGCCTTTCTACACACAAAGTCTTAAAGAGACACAACCTTTTAAGGAAATACACAAATTTCCAGTCGTTATCACAAGTCGTTGGCGTGCGCGTAAAAGAATCCCTGACAGTTAGAATTACATAAAGAGTAGATGGAAACACCTTTGTCAGGATAAAATGTCCCGCTTAGCACACGGCATTATCCCGACTGGTACAGTAAAGTAGCATTCAAATATGGGGAGAGAAAGACCATCGATATTTCTGAAGCCCTAAGCATATGTCTGGGATGACGCCTGTGGGGTGAATCTCGTATACAAATTGATATTGTACGTAAAAGATCCTAACAACGAAAGTTAGAATCCACAGAAAACGAGACATTAGGCCGAACGTAAGAATATTTCTGTCTATTGATACACTTACACCAGAGTTATTTTCAACCGCGCTGTTTTCTCTTTAAGCGAAATATTTAATGTATGGTTTGCTAAGCATAATGGAAAACGTAGAGCGGATAACGACGTCTTAAATATATTATGGCTAAGTTTAACTAGTAAGGTTAAATGACACCATATATTCAAACATGGTTATATCCTTAAATTATTTGGCAGTTTGACATGTATCCAAGAAAATGTAACTTTTTATTCACAATAAAATTATTATCAACATTTATGAAGCGCATAAACACAATAATTCCATCAAATGTGCTGTTGGTTTCAGAGTTATCACTAATTATTTTCCACAAAAGTTTACGGGACATAAATTTTTAATCTGAGGTTTCGTTCGACTTTTCAGTGTGATGTTATTTTTAAAATATTTTACACGTTACAGGCGCCTGTGCTTCAAAACGGCTGCGTATTGAGGACTGTAAGTTACTGATTATGAAAGAAGAGTCCAACCTTTGACTAGAAAAATATAATTATGCGCGGATCAATCGGGTATGAATAGCAAATATCTGTCCATGATTTTCGTAATAGAATTCGAGTTACTCCGCTGCGCACTCATGACGTCATTCGGCGTTTTACACGATCGATCCCATTGCTGGAACTAACCACCCCTACACATGATACATTAAAATTTGATTGTATTTGTTGAAGTGAACACCGAAGTTTGTTCTAGTTATCTTAGTTATAGCCAGAAGCTGGACCAGATTTATATGACTTTTTCTTCTACCCATCGGTGTTGTGGCTAAAAATATGTTTTCAAAAATTCAGTAAAGTATCCAAGTTGCCGAAACGAGCTCATACGAGCGAAAAACTTTCTAACCAGATATCCAAATTATTTTCTTAATTTCGGATTTTATTTTGTCACGGACTCAGCGATGACAACTGGCAAATAACTGCTGACTGACTTATCAGCCAATGAAATCGCTGCAATTTGCTGTGATCTTTCAAGGTAAACGAAACGTATCCTTTAATTGTTGTTCTAGGTTTTATTTCGTCGTAGAGTTACCCAGCATACAGAAACTGGATTCGTCTATTTAATTGTGAGTTTAGCCACAACTCTCTTATGTAGGACATACATGTACTATAGATATTCATTAACTCAGCATAATCGAGGCGATGGATATGTCCGTGGGCAGTATACATCCTGATCAGCGGCTTTTCTGACAACGGTGATGACCAGGCTTATTATGTGTTCAATATTGCACTATGATAAAAATATGTCATAATATGCATATCCCTTATCTTCGTGAATTTCGCATTTAAATAAACATTAAGACGTCGGGTTTTAATGTCATCAAGGTAACAGTTAGTGACTGTTTATAACTATAAGCACGCTCTCTTGCTATAGTTCTAATGTACACTGTTAAAAATAAATGTAAAATTACAGTGAAAAATATGTAATTTCTTTAACATAACGCTGTAAAAATACCACTGCATGTTTTTATACTATAAATTTACTGTATTAGTGCGGTAACATGAGATTACTGTAACAAAATTGGTAAATTAACCATAAAAGTGTAGTTTTACAAGTTAGATCTGTTTTTACATGTAAGCTGTATTGATACAACTATGTTTGTTAACGTACATGTATGTTGTATTTTAACTGTTTTTATGGGTAATTCTACTATTCAAACATGTTTAAATACGGGATTTGTGTACAATTTACAGGAAACGTGTTATTCTACATCTCTTAAGAACTTTAACATTGATAGACCTTTTAAGGCTTCATTACTTTTCGTTGGCTAAGTGGGTAAGACGCTGGCTCGCTAGCCCGGAGGTCGAGTGTTCTATATTTGATTTGGAATGGTTGCATGTGAATACAAGGCTTATGTAAGATTACATCAAACGTAATGTAGAAATACAACCATATTATGTCAGTTTACATTATGTGAACTGTATATTAACAGAAATACCATTTGAATTATTATTTTTACAACATATTGTAAATTAACTGTCAAATAGTGACCACATCGGTTATTCCTTCTTTGGCCACATGTAAGATTACATCAAACGTAAAGTAGAAATACAACCATATGTCATTTTACATTATGTGAGCTTTATATGTTAAATTATTTCAATTTATTGTGTGGGCGAAGTTTTATTAAAAATGTCATAATTTGCATGGTTTTTAGGCCATATTTCTTTTAGAATAAAGCTAGACACATGGTTTATTGTCTTGTGGCTTAAATGCTTCGCGGTGGATTTTAAAACAAAAATCTTGAAAAACTCTCGCGTTCACCAGACAGAAAAGTATAAATAACGCCATAACGAAAAATTGGAGAGCGCTGCAAATCAATAAGGTTCATTAGTTGCAACAATCCCTTCGAAAATCTAGCTTCTATCCGTTCACATGGATAAATCCCACGGAACACCGAAAATAAATTAAATAAGTATATCTCTGGGACAGCAAACCTTATATTTATGAAGTTCAACAGGGGTCATCGCGTTAACGCGTTAACAAGGTTTTCAAAGAATGGAGTGTAACTCTGGGATGGAAGATCGCTAAGCGCTGAATATCAATAGAGTTCATGACCCCAATGCTTCACACACGTTAACAAGGCTTTCTGAGAGAGGGTGGGTTATACTAAGGAACAGAAGGTCACAGAATGCTGAATATTCATAGGGTCCGCCCTCTCATTGTCCCATATTTAAAAAATAATACGGACTCTGGAACAGAAGTGTGCGGAGTACTGAAAATCGAAAGACCCCAGTGCTTCAAAACACATTTGAAAAACAAAATGAGTTAAAACAAAATTGTAGTCTCTATATCGTTAACAGGG